GTTATTATACACTGTATGCTGTGATTCTGATCTGGGAAACATTAAAGACATTCATAGCCAGACTGCTGACTTTGTGTTTTTATTCAGTCGCCTAACAGAAGTACAGTAAGAAACGATTTAGCCCATCCTGATTTCTTAGCTGTTTGCATATTTGCCACACTTACGTGTTTCAGATCATGAAGAACATTTTTATGATAGATAAAGATGACCAGAGTCAGTATAAAATAAAGCTTTTACATGTATTGCTGGGAGGTCGGCAGCTCCCTCCACTGCTTGGCCCTCTGTGAAAAACAACTGGGATCCAGCTTCCCTGTGATGCTGAATTATATAAGCGGAAGAACATAAATAGATAGAAGGATGGATGATTGTATTTTGTGTACAATTGTTGAAGTGTAAAAAGGGTTGGCCCTCCGTGGTGCCCTAAGCAAAGTTTGATTTTTGGAGCCCTTTAATAGTGCCAATAATAGTGATTAATGATCACCTACTATAAATGTATTTCATTTTCTAATGTTGATGTTGTTGTAATCCACAGTGAAAAATGTCATAAAAACAGAGAGAAACAATAGATCAAACCTGAGAGCTGCACAGTTGCAGCAGTGTGGTTTACGTCATTGTGTTGTCAGCCTGTTTTACACATCGGTGGTTTCTTATTGACATGTAAAAAGATCTGAAATCGTAGTAAATTCAGCTGCTATTGTGGGCTGGGGATGATTTACACTTAACATTTTAATAACTGGGTACTGAATGTCAGAGGCCCAATGTTCCCTCTAATTTTTCACGTGTCTGGCGAACACACAAACTCCCTGAGCGATCCCTTGGACCAATGAGCGACATCAGACGTGTGCACTGTGGTCACGCCGGCATCGAATCCATCCAAGTTACATGGTTTATTAAAAGAATCAAATTACAGCGTTTACATTTATGTTAGACTACTTTTAATTAACTGCTTTAGCCCATTTACCATGAAAATGTAAAAAAAATCTTGTTCATGACCTGTGCAGTATGTTAACACTATTGGAAGTAAAAATAACTTGAACTCCAATTTCGAAAACACAACTTTCTTTTTTCTTTTTATACAGCTCTGACTTGTATCATGAGTCTGTGGTCTGGGAGAGAGTCCTGTAACTCTCTGTCTACAAAATATAGTAAATAATGACCAATGCTGAGCAATTAATTATATAGTTACTTCTTCAAAAAAGTAACTCAGTTTGGCAAACAAAGTTTTTTGCAGCTATTTTTTTAAATGCAGCCAAGGCGTTTTTAAATAAACATTTCAAACTATTTACAGAACAATCAGCTGTTCTGCATCAAATCTGATGCCACACAAATTATTTGTTCCCCTCCAAAAAATAATTTCTGTCCACTATGAGATAAAGGAAAAGAACAACAGCCTGATACCTGCAGGCCTGACAGCAGGAGATGCATCACTCCTGTAACACCTGTAACATTCAGCAGTCGCTCATTGTTCTGACACACACAACAAAACTATTGACTACACTACACACTAACTACACAAGATTTGCGCTAAACGTTGCAAATCTCTCACATCTCAAAGCACCGCCATCACTCCTAAAACTTCCCCCGTTTCTTAACAACTAGACGCCACGTTGCCATATCATTCTTTGATTGGTCGACATGGTACTTTTTTGGACGAATAGGAAAGGCAGAGGGGGGTGGGGTTTGTTTTTGCTCACAGGTGGAGAGCGCTTTCGAGTGTTTTCCTTATAAAACGCCGTTTTTACCGTTTCTTCCTGCAGTAAATATAAACAACGATAGTATTCAGAAAGAAAACAAAACATTGCAGATGTTTTTATCACAACTCTGGTTTTACGTGGTCTATCAACACAATTTAAAAACTGGTTAAAGTCCCCAATTTTTCCGTCAATTGTTCCGTCTGTCCTGCTCACATCTCCAATGGTTGTACACGTTGTCATTAACATGGCTTCACTCCACATCAGCCACGCCGCTTTGCCAGCTAAAACACTGGTGTCGGCACATAAGGACGCTGTCATAGCCTGCCAACAACGTTGATTGCTGCGCATATACGCATTATTGGCTGGACTATGGGATAAGGTGGCATCGTTCCCATATGGGAGCAGCCAGTCACTTACTGACCAACATGCAAAACAGAATTGTTAAAGTATTAATTTTAATTTCAATTCAGGTTAGATTTTTTTTGGTGCGCAACGCAGAATTTCTGTGCGCAGAGACTGTGCCAGCAGTGCGCAATTGCGCACGTGCGCAGCTTAGAGGGAACATTGCATAGGCCCACTAAAAGTTACAAAATAAGCTACTATCAAATACATTTTCTGTAAACACATCAGAAGGTTATTTATGTGGCAAAAAGTTAGATCTACACAAAATGTTGCAGGGAAACAGAGAAGGAGCTCGTATAGGTTTGAGTTTTATTCACATCTATTGTGCAGGTACAAATAGCAGAGTGGAAAACTTTATACTTTGTGTTTGCAAACATTAATTTATGAAGATTAATTAACATGAGTGTAGCACAAAGTAAAGGTGGAAGCAGTATTCTGACATGACAGTGCAATCAAAACACATTTTGCCACAACAATCTGTGAATAATTGTAACAAACAACTGTCACTTTAATATTGGACAGACTAGTTGTGCAGCCCTAACCTGAAATCTGCTGTTTGTTCTGAATGAAAAACGTTAGTCTTTGGTAAACATTTTAATCCCATTTATAGATGCAATATGTTATTTCAGTTAAGACTAATGTTACCACACGTTCCATCATTAGAGCGCATTTAAAGTGTGGAGAAGTCTGTGAAGGTTCTCAGTCATCCAGGTCATCGTAGTCTAAGGAGCTTGCTAAGAAAAGCGTCTGGACTTCTTTGAGTTACTTGAAGACGTTTCACCTCTCATCCGAGAAGCTTCTTCAGTTCTAAGGGTCAAATGGTGGAGAGTCCAAGCTGTATTGAAGAATTTCTAACTTCATGTAGGCTAAACAGCGGCCTAGAATTAGACTCAAAATCCTGCACTTGCCCAAAATAAAGGGGGCGTTAATGTACCAGATTCTACAGAACACCAGAAATAACTGCTAAGATGGGTCCAACACATCTGAGTTCATGCTGGAGGAACTGTGGGACACACTCTGCCAACCACACTCATATATTGTGGCTCTGCCTAAACTCTGTGTATTCTGGAGGCAGATATTTGATGCTCTCAAAGACATTTTCCAAGGTAAATATTCCACTAAGTCCTACAGCAGCAGTGTTGGGAAGGATTGCAGAACATATTGACTGCAAAGCCAAAAGTTACCTGCTAAATATATGACTCACTGCAGCCCTAAAATGCATAACTATCAGATGGTTAAAACCAGATATAATCTATGGATCCATGTCTGTCTGATGGAACAAATTACATACTCAGACTACAGAAACAAGTCTTTGAGAAACGGTGGGGACCCATGTTACCTTTACTATTACAATGAAGAACACCACCTATTTTGTGAGCTCTCTCTCTCTCCACACACACACACACACACACACACACACACACACACACACACACACACACACACACACACACCACACACACACACACACACACACAGCATGTTATGCCAGTTTCAGCTGAAACTATGTTTCAAACCATAATCCGGGTTTTTAGTTCACCATTTATGAGGTTTCAAGAAGAAAATAAAAGACAGATCTGAATGTTTGAAAATGTTTTGGAAAGATTCTGTAAAGATGAGATGAAAAATACTCAAAGGATAAATTTAATTGGTTTATTATTTAGATAAGAATAACAAGCAAGTAAAGGAAGAAACAAGGTAAAAGAAAAAAGAAAAAAAAAAGTAAAGAAGAAACAAGGTAAAATGAAGTAATAATGAAAGAAGTTAAACAAGTAAATGAAGAACAAGGTAAAATGAAGTAATAATGAAAGAAGTTAAACAAGTAAATAAGAATGAAAAGTAAACAAGTAAAAAAAAAAAAATGAAGTAATAATGAAAGAAGTTAAACAAGTAAATGAAGAAACAAGGTAAAATGAAGTAATAATGAAAGAAGTTAAACAAGTAAATGAAGAAACAAGGTAAAATGAAAAAAAAAGAAAAAAAGAAAACAAGTAAATGAAGTAATAATGAAAGAAGTAAAAAAAAAAAAAAAAAAAAAAAAAAAAAAAAAAAATGAAGAAACAAGTAAAATGAAGTAATAATGAAAGAAGTTAAACAAGTAAATGAAGAAAAAAGGTAAAATGAAGTAATAATGAAAGAAGTTAAACAAGTAAATGAAGAAAAAGGTAAATGAAGTAATAATGAAAGAAGTTAAACAAGTAAATGAAGAAAAAGGTAAAATGAAGTAATAATGAAAGAAGTTAAACAAGTAAATGAAGAAAAAGGTAAAATGAAGTAATAATGAAAGAAGTTAAACAAGTAAATGAAGAAAAAAGGTAAAATGAAGTAATAATGAAAGAAGTTAAACAAGTAAATGAAGAAAAAGGTAAAATGAAGTAATAATGAAAGAAGTTAAACAAGTAAATGAAGAAACAAGGTAAAATGAAGTAATAATGAAAGAAGTTAAACAAGTAAATGAAGAAAAAGGTAAAATGAAGTAATAATGAAAGAAGTTAAACAAGTAAATGAAGAAACAAGGTAAAATAATAATAATGAAAGAAGTAAAAAAAAAAAAAAAAAAAAAAAAAAAAAAGTAAATGAAGAAAAAGGTAAAATGAAGAATAATGAAAGAAGTTAAACAAGTAAATGAAGAAAAAAGGTAAAATGAAGAATAAGGAAAGAAGTTAGGAGAGAAAACCCCAACAATCCCCTCTGAGCAAGCACTTGGCGACAGTGGGGAGGAAAAACTGCCTTTAAACGGGCAGAAACCTCCGGCAGAACCAGGCTCAGGAGGGGACAGTCAACTGCCGGGACTGGTTGGGGGGGTTAACAGAGGTGGAGCAAGACGAGGCTACATCAGGTGAGGAAGCAGTAGCGTCTCTCCTCTGGAACAAGTGGAACCATTTTTTCTTTTTTTTCATGCACTTTTCCACGAGCGCTTTTTTCTCCACGATGAGATTTCTCAGCTCGTCGATGGTTTCTGCGTTTTTTTTCTTCAAGTTTCTCACATCTTTGTTCCACCTCTTCCAATGCTGCTTGTTGTTCTTCAAGCTTGTCTTTGAGTTGTTTGGATGTTTCCTCCTGTATCAGCTTGTCCTTGTGCATGTCTGCATTTCTCTGTTGGACCTCTTTGTGCTTGTCTTTTAACTGCTTCTTTCTTTTCTTGATTTCTTGATTTTTGTCTTCATGTATTTTGTCTTCTTGTTGTTTTTGTGACTGCATTTGAGTGTGTTCACTCTTCAAGTTATTGAATTCCACCAAACGCCCCTTAACGAGCTCGGAGTTGTTTCTCGCTATCTGATCGATCCTTTTCTGCATCTGTGAGCACCGTTTCTCCAGTTTGTCCCTTTCTTCTTCCACTTTAGTTGCTTTGTCCTCCAGCTGATTACAAAACTCTTGCAGTTTTAGATTTTTAGACTGAAAGTCCTGGACGATGCGTTTTCCTTCTTTCAGTCTTTCCTGCTGTTGCTCTTTCTGTTGAAGAAGGTCTTTATTTTGGCGCAGTGTTTCATCCAGGCTTTCTTTCAGCATGCGGTATTTTTCCTGCATGCTCTTCAGTTTGTGCTGCATGTCTTGTTGCTTTTTGTCCTGCTCTTCCTTCTGTTGGAGGAATTTATTCTTTTCTTCCACAGCTTCATGGAGCTGTCTTTGGAGGAGCCAATTTTTTCGGTCCATGTATTGGAGATCCCGTTGTATCTTATCAGTCATCGTTTTCTTGTCTTGGAGCTGGTTGGTCATTTCTTTTAGTTCTGCGCGCTTTTGCCTGTTTTCTTTATTGAGGTGCACAATCTGCTCTCGGGCCTGAGCAAACTTGATTCCCCAGCCCTCATTAATAATGTTTATGTCCGGCTGGCGCTGTTGTCTTTCTTCCAGCTCTTTATTTTGGGCTTCCATTCGTCTACACTTGTCCTCCAGTTGAAGTTTTTCTTCTTCAATTTGTTGCATTTTTTTCTGGAGAAGGTAGTTTTCCTTCCTACTCTCCTCTAATGCCCTTTGGGAGGATGAGACGCCATTTGGGGAAATCGGCCGGCCACTCCAGGAAGGAGAGGCGGCGTAATCTTTTTGAATTGGTTGTTTTTTTCTTGGAAACATGTTGGAGTTTCTATACGATGACTTTGAAGAGCTTTCCAAATGTTTCTGTGGTGAACGTTTTGTATGCTGCAAACACAGATGCTGCTGAAACGAACTAAACTTGCTGTTTCTCACCCCTATTTAAGGAAAAACATCAAAGGACTTATGACGTTCTATGACATCATCACTCCAATGAGATTGTCACAAGACGTTTTGGAATGGGGTGTTTTTTTTTAAACTGTTTTCAAACTTAACTTAAAATTTCATTGTTTCCTAGTTGTGGACTATTGGTTAGTCCAGCCGATGAAGAAATTAATTGTCACAAACATCCCTAATATTACATAACAGACAACAGAAAACAAGACAGTTTTTTTTCTAATAAAGGTATAATAAAAGTTTTTTTAATTATCCTACTTTTTATAAAAGAGAACATTTATTAAAGAGTATGTATTTAATTAAAAAACTCTGTTCATCTAAAGCAGGGGTCAGCAACCTTTAAGACCCAAAGAGCCATAATTGGCCTATCTGGGGTTGAAAGGCTCGATAAATGCACGGCGTTTCGCCGGGTACACCGGCTTCCGCGAGTGTGATGCTTATTTTGAGCGATGAAAAAATAACAAAATATAATTTTATTTGTATATTGCAAAATCACAATAATCTTCCAATTTAGAACTACAAGTAAAAAAAAAAAGAACTGGCATAAATAAAATACACTTCAGCTAAATACTAATTTATTTTCCCAAACCACGCAGAGCCGCACTATAAGGACTAAAGAGCCGCATGAGGCTCCGGAGCCGCAGGTTGCCGACCCCTGATCTAAAGGCTATAACAAAAAGCTTCCTGCTGGAAAATGAAATGTCCCCATTAAGAGTCTGAATCAGGAGCCGATGACATTACTCTGTAAACTCTCAAAGCACTTTAATAAACAAGCAAACAGTTCCACCTCTCGCATTATTGCGTAAAGTTGACAGCGCGTCAGGCAAATAGGCAGGCTCCATCCCCGGCCTCTAGCGACTGTGGAAGTCGCTACATCTTTAGTCAACAAAAACGGCATTCTGGAGAAGCCAGCCACAAGCAGGATCAAAGAAATCAGATCAAGGAACCTGAAAGACGCCAAGTAAGTGCAGCGCATCTGAATGAGTGAGCCCAGCAGCACCGACACACCTGACGCAATTCTGAGGAGCGCAGGTAAGAATACCTGTGCATGTCTGGTTGTGGAAAAGGAAGCGACATTGCATTAGCGCTGAGATGTTTTAAGAGGAGACACTGAATGGAATGAATGTTGGTTAAATGTGCAATGTTTTGGCTGCGCTCTTGGATTGATGACTGCGCTGCGTCTTATTAATTATGCTGCTTGGATGATGTTCAAATGGACAATTAAAGTGCCGTTACGTTGAAAGGATTTTATGGTCAAAGTCTATTGTGGCTTCCAGTGGATATATGTTTTAATGGATGATCACTGAAGATTAAAATAAATAAATAAATAAAAAAATCGAACAAACAAACGGGAAAATCATGAGTCAAACAGGTGATGATGATTGTTCCTCTAATGATTTGGGGGGAAGAGAGAAAGAAAAATGACTGGAAAGGCATTGTTGAATAAAATCGAAAAATCACAAAATGAATGCAAAATATATGTTAATAAAATGAAAGGACTAATACAAAAAATGAAAGCGCTCATGCAACACAATGAAAATCTTTCTCAAATTAAGCAGTATTTGGTGGATTTAAAGGCACTGTGCGAAAAGGCTTCAAGTTCACATGTTGAGGTGTTGTCTTTGGTGCCAGAGGAAGTAATAAAACAAGAGGAATGCTTTTCAAGTATCATGAAATACACAAATGTGTTTTTAAATGAAATTCAGAACTGGATAAATCAAAGAGAACAAAATCCTGCTGTTTGTCCAAAGCAAATCAATTTATTGGAAAACAATGTTGCATCAAATACTGAGACAGAAGTGGAGGATGATATCAAGCCAAGTGATAGTGTTTCTGTTGTGATATTTTGATACCATGGTAGCATTTACTGAGTATTGTTTTTGATGATATTATACAAAGGACCCTGTTTCTGCAATGCCCTTTGTTTTAACCTCATCTCCTCTTGCTGTGTCAACTGAAGATTTTATGGTGTGAAAGTAGATACTAAGGTTGGAGGGAAAACACCAACAAATCACTCTTTTACTTATCACTCCCTTGCAGAAGATGTTTATGTGAAGACCATCTGGGTTGTGTCAGAACTCACGGATGTAGGAGACCTCTGTATAAGATTATAGGCCTTGTGAGTGCATCTTTATTGCCCTAGCTGAACAAAGGATTCCAACTGTCGAAGGACACCACCCACCCAGTGGGCAGGGTCTGAACTGAAACTTGTTGTCTGCCTATAAAAACTGCTGCACAAAGAATAAACTTTGAGTTAGTTTGGGATGACAATTTAGAACAGTCTCCGCGTCTTTTTGTTCTTCCAAACTGCTCCCGGTACTCCGGCCGGTGCTGTAATTAACCGTTGATCATACTTGAGAATATTTTAATTGTTATAGGTTAAAGGATGAACTCTGATGATGAAAGCCCACGCCTCAGAGAAACCCGGAATGGAGTTTCTTGCAGTTTCAAATGTTGAAAGCCACAAAACTTCTTCAAGATCTTCAACTTCATCTGTTCGTATGAAAGCTGAGGCAGAGTTGGCAGCTTTAAAGACGCGGGGAAAAGGACACTGTACCTGTCGATGCACGTTTCCCAAATCTAAACGAGTCATATCGCTCCATGTTTGCTACTTTTGGTTTTTGGTTTTCTCCGCAGAGTAAGAGCATCGCAGGAGCTCCTGAAGTCAAACGACGCCTCCCAGCACTCATTTATTAAAACGGAGTCGATGCCAAAAGTCTTAAACGTTAGAATCAAAGCAACAGCTGTGAACTCAGTCATGGTGTCATGTGCAGCCTTCATCTTACTGTCACTACTTTTTCATTTTAGGGTACGTGAGGTAAAGCGTCCGTCGATGTAGCTTGATTGTACAAAATTATTTTTCTACGTTATTAACAAAACAGAGCAGAGACTGATGCTGCTCCTGTCTGACCCCTTGTGTCTGGCACTGTTTTTTTTGTTTTTTTTTTTTTTTTTTTTTTTTTTTTTTTTTTTTTTTTTTTTTTTTTTTTTTTTTTTTTTTTTTTTTTTTTTTTTTTTTTTTTTTTTTTTTTTTTCTTTTTTTTTTTTTTTTTTTTTTTTTTTTTTTTTTTTTTTTTTTTTTTTTTTTTTTTTTTTTTTTTTTTTTTTTTTTTTTTTTTTTTTTTTTTTTTTTTTTTTTTTTTTTTTTTTTTTTTTTTTTTTTTTTTTTTTTTTTTTTTTTTTTTTTTTTTTTTTTTTTTTTTTTTTTTTTTTTTTTTTTTTTTTTCTTTTTTCGTTTTCTTTGCTTTTTTTTTATTTTTTCTTGTCATTGACTCCCATTTGGTTTGACATAGTTTCACTGACTGCATAATGCTGTGTGGTGTGTGTGTGTGTGTGTGTGTGTGTGTGTGTGTGTGTGTGTGTTGTGTGGTGTGTGGTGTGTGCGTGGTGCTGTGTGTGTGTGGTGTGTGTGTAGCGGCAGTCGCTGTGTGAGTGTGATATCACATCTGCATCACTCAAGCGTAGGCAAGCCCGCGTCAGACAACAATAAACAAAAAGCAGAAAAAGGCCAACAGTAAAAACTCAGACTCCAGCATGAGCTCCTTCCTGCTGCTTAACCAATCACCTTCCTCCATATCATCACTGCTCCCTCCCTCCTCCTCTCTCCATCCTACACCACCTTTGTTATTTAACACCGACCCCCCCAAACTGATAATCAGACAAATTCCCAAACACCTGACTTCACTGTGTCGACACCGTTCCTGACCATTTCTGACCTCAGTTCAGCTCTGCTATTATCCTCACATTAAGGGTTCGTTCACCTGCCTGCAGATGATCTGTGAGCTCGTCGGTTGTAAATTAAACTCTAAGCACACTGAGGGTAACCGGGAGGCGTTCAGGGCCTGCAGTGCAGAGCTGCAACATGACAAAAAGGGATGGGGGCTCAGATCTCCTGAACAGGGTGGAAACAACACGGTGGGTTTGTGCTGTTTGTGATTCCTGCTCCGTCACTCTGGTGGAGACGACTGCAGCTCAGCAGCGCTCCCTGCTGATCCTCTGATGAAGATGTCAACAGTATGTAAACTGAGCTGATGTGCTGCTGTTTGAGCCCACGTGGTAGCGTACGTCCAGTATGGGAGAACTTAGTCACCGGTGCTGTCTTTGCTTGTGCTCTAGCTTTAGCCTGTTTGATTGTTTGTTTTCTATTTTATTACTGCCTAAAAGGGAGGTGGGGGAAACACATGCCTGACTTCTCCTGTCAGAGGTTTTGTAAGCTCACTAGAAGGGAAACGTGCACAATGTAAATCATAAAACAACTGACTGGGGCTGTGCTGCAGGTGGATCAGTGCTGTGGACAGTAGCTGTGGAAAAGAGACTGGACAAAGACTCTCAGCCTTAAATACAGGACAGAGGATGATCCGATCATCTTTCAGCTAACAGTGTCGAGCAGAAGGACGGCCGGCTGATGCGTCCGTACGAACCCTTTTGTACTCACTCCTGTGTATAAGGAGGCGGCGAGGGGTTGTGTAGTTAACCTCAGCACCACACAGCTACAGCAGAGGACAGAACACAAACGAGTCCTTTCATTCGGCTCTGTTCTTTCTCCTTGTCGGTTTTATAAGCTAACACTAGAGGGCGCCATTGTGGCACATTCAGCGCTCACTCTGAGGTCACTGGACAGAGAAGAAAATACCAAACTGGAGACGGATGGAGACGAAACATCTGGAAGATCAGAACTGTACATTTTTAAGTGTAAGAAAAAAACAGACAAAATATTTGTAAATATTAAGTTTCTTGTTTATTTATGTTTTGTTTTTTTGGGTTTTTTGGAGTGAATGAATGATATGCTTATTTTGTGATGACAAA